GGTGTGGGTTTCCTTAGTACAAACACATGTGGAGTAGGGGGATTGATCGACTAAATTGGCCGTAGTGTGTGAATGAGTGTGTTTGGGTGTTTCCCAGAACTGGGTTGCGGCTCGAATGGGGCATCCGCTGTGTAAAACATATTCCGGAATAGCTGGCGGTTTATTCCACTGTGGCGACCCTTCATAAACAAAGGGACTAAGCCGAAGAAAAATGAATGAATGAATGACAATCGTTTCTATTCTGCTACATTTTAACATTTTTGTGGTGTATATTCATTTATTTACTTCCTATACACTTTTATAAATCATTAATTTGGCATCTATTTCTATTTTTTCAACCTTAGATGAATACTCTGAACGATGTATACTCTGAATATTTGTTTTTAACTTTTATTATACTCTTTAAATTAAGTTACTTCACCCGCTTGGAATGTCATCACTTGATTGAATAGGCGTTATCAGCGGTTATCAGCTGATAGATATGGGACAGAAGTGGTCTTCTAAGCCTTCTGCTAAATCAGCTATACTAATTGTCGCGATCACCAGCGATTTAACCATCATAGATCGCTGGTAAACATTCACATGAACTACAAATCCGGCATGTTACGGACTACATATTCAGTCATGCAACACACACACAAATAATTATCAAAAAATATTATTTACATTTACTTTTAGTCATTTAGCAGACGCTTTTATCCAAAGTGACTTAGAAATGAGGACAAGGAAGCAATTAACACAACAATAAGAGCAACAATGAATAAGTGCTGTAGGTTAGTAATTTTTTTAGTAAAGTGGAGACTAAATAGTTGAGTTTTTAGTCGTTTCTTGCAAACAGCGAGTGACTCTGCTGTTCTGATGCAGTTAGGGAGTTCATTCCACCAGCTGGGCAGATTGAGCGTGAGCGTTCGCGAAAGTGATTTCTTCCCTCTTTGGGACGGAACCACGAGGCGACGTTCATTCACAGAACGCAAGTTTCTGGAGGGCACATACATCTGCAGAAGTGAGAGCAGATAAGAAGGAGCAAAGCCAGAAGTCACTTTGTAGGCAAACATCAGAGCTTTGAATTTGATGCGAGCAGCAACTGGCAGCCAGTGCAAACGGATGAGCAGCGGAGTGACATGTGCTCGTTTAGGTTCATTAAAGACCACTCGTGCTGCTGCATTCTGAAGCATCTGAAGAGGTTTGATAGAGTTAGCTGGAAGCCCGGCTAGTAGAGAGTTGCAGTAGTCCAGTCTGGAGAGAACAAGAGCTTGAACAAGGAGTTGAGCTGCATGTTCAGATAAGAAGGGTCGGATCTTTCTGATGTTATAGAGTGCGAATCTGCACGATCGAGCAGTTCTAGAAAAGTGGTCAGAGAAGTTTAGTTGGTCATCAATCGTTACTCCAAGGCTTTTCACCATTTTGGATGCATTAATGGTTGCCCCATCCATCTGGATTGAAAAGTTATGGTGTAGAGTCATACTGTGAAGATTTCCACATTTTAAAATGTTTTTCCACAAAAAAAAACATCAACTGTAAATATACATACGTCTTTATTTCAATGGCATAATTTTATAACTATTAGGTTATTATAATTTTTTTCTTATACTCAATATTGTTTATTTATTGATGTTTTATCTTTAAAACTTGTCTTTGAAGTATATTTCAGTCAAATGTTTCATT